AGTGTTGATAAACTGCGTGGGTGCTTAGCTAGGCGCACATAAGTCTCTCGTCTTCTAGCCTTGTTCGACTGGTTTTACCAATAAAGGTTACTGAACGTCCTGCAAATTGCTGTAGAGGCCAGGAAAGGTCAGCCATGTGACTGCTGATTCTGAAACTCTGACAATGATTCTTGTCAATGATGTACGAGTATTATGCAGTGGAACTCAATTTCATAACCAAAAATAAAACCACTAAGTTAAAATAATTTTTTAAACAATATTATTGATGTGTATACAAATAGTTTTTATTTGACGTTAGATTTCTGTAAAAATTTTAACAGAAAAAAGGAATTAAGAGAATAGGCCAAATCAAACGAACTGTTGATATGTTTAGTCATAATAAGAGAGCTGGAAAATTCGTAATGATTCGTATGCACATTTAAGTAATATTTTTTTTATACATGCTCAATCCTAAAAAACTTATTGTTTTTTACAAAGTGGTATATAACTTTATATTTAACAAATGTTTGTTTGTAAACGACAAATTTCCATCAGTAATAATAACGACACAAGAGTCTATACAGTATGTTACAATAATAACAGCAAACCGTGCCACTTTCCTTACTCATGGTAGATTGGTTTTTCCAAAAAAATATTTGTTAATCTTTTCAAAACATTCGTTGAACCTATTTTTGTAAATTTCTGCTAAGCGTATTACACTATTGTTTAATACACTTTGTTACATGTTATTTAACGGCAACGGTTTTTAAAACTACTGTACTGGGATTATCTCTAATGTTAGTTAAGATCCATGATTATTTTATCAAGCATTGTATATTATGGATACATCACAGCTAATAGGATGTTTTGTATGAAGTATCTTGTAAAACTAATGTTTATTGTCACATATTAAAATATTTATGAAACTGTAGTAATAGTCAAGCATTAATACCTTGAATGAATATAAAATTCTGTTAATGATTACCAATTTTTCTAGCTTAGCTATTAAAAAATATTTTTCAACAATAATTTAAACTGTGAATACTTTAAAATGAGGCCTAAACTAGTTTGGGACAGTAATTTGTCCATTGTCTAGAAGCGACAAATGTCGCCATTACATTCGGATGGATGGCCACAGCTAGTATAGTTAAGGAACAATGATTCCATTGTTGTGCCACAGCCGTTTGTCTGTTACTAAATTGCATTCAACAAAATTAGACATTAGCATTATATTTTGTAGCTATTACAGATAAATTGATACAGGCAATGAAGAATCGTATGCAAGTAAAATCATAAAATGTCAGCAAGTGTATTTAATAAATTAATCGTTTACCAATAATTTTTTAATTAATAGGTTTTTATTAAATACTTGAATCTATTTTTTGCTTATCCTTTTAAAACTCAGGGACTATAAAAGATGCCATTCACAATCGTAACATCAGATTGCTGGGTCATGAAAAATAGCAATAACATGTTGTGTGATACGCGAGTCGCAAATGCATGATTAGAATAACAGTTATTGTCAGTCGTTTCACAGTGATGGCATTTTTATGTAATCACTTATCTATTTCCGTTTCGTTTTATCTTTCTACGCTCAGCGGAACAGCTACAAAGTTAATTTTCTGTATAAGTTGCTTTAATACAAGTTTTATTAGTTCCATTACTTATGTCAGCCACAGATTTACATTGAATATTATAATCCAAAAAGTTGTTAATGTTGCATTGATTTTGGATTACATAAAAGCAGGTTTCATTAGTTCAAACATATAATATAAAACAAATCAACATAGAAGTTTTATTACTTTGATAATGCACAGCTTTTATTATAATGTTAGTCATGGACTGAGAGTAATACAATAGGACGTTATTTAAAAGAATTAATAAAATAAAACAACAATTAGTATCAAAATTTTGCAGCTTGATCATTCCATGACATGTTTAGGTACGAGTATGTTTTATAGGTTGATAGCTGTATGGGTTTAAAAAGCATATATTAAAATGTAGTAAAAATGTTTTTCACTAAAAAAAACAGGTGTTAATGTTCTGTAAGACTATTTTGCATCTTCACTTTTTGAATGCCCTAAATACTTTTTAAGTGTCACACTTTTGTATTCATGAGATCTGAGAAAAGCGCACTATGATATCGTCATTAGCGCTACGTAGCCCCAAGCTCTTACTCTCAAGGTCTTACTTTTTAGTTTGCTTATTCTAAGGTAGACTTCCCTTGGAGTTATGCCCTGGACTAGATTGATATCAGTCTCCAGGTACACCCCACAGATAGCTGTAGAGGCTTATGAAATCACGGGGAGGGGGTTTTTCTTCATCGACATTGTTATCGATTTCCCCCATGGTGTTTTTCATCACCATGTCTGCCAGTTTCCCCGGCACTTTTTGAAAAGTTCCTGGGTCTTTGCATAGGCAGTTCTCCTCGGTGCGGCGTGATTATTACGCCTTTGTCTGACTCTATTCCTCCTACCATCATTTCGATCTACGCCATTCGCCATTTGTCCTAGCAAGGCCGCGATTTCATCGACGACCTCGTCTAGGGATGCATTAATCATGGGGTTAGACCCCATGGAGTCAATTATTGTTATTGCCAATTGATCAAGCATTGCGGCAATGTCAACTGCTGGGATCCAGTCATCAACGTCAACGTGGGATCAAGTGCCACTAAAGGTGAAATAATCGCCGTCAATGTTTCTGGGCGAGGCACCTGGAGAATCGTCAGGTGAGCCTCCGGGGTCCCCTCCAGGGTCGTCAGGGTTTCTTTAATTCCCCCTCTCCCGCCTTTCATTCCCCATTGCTTGCATCATAAGGGGGCGGGGGGACGGAGAGCCACAAGCCGGATGTATATGATCCGATCTACGGATCCGTCCCCCAGTCGATCCTCGAGTCTCCGGGAGGCTGGGGCGAGGTGTAAAGACCGCCCCTCCTGTCCGGAGACTCCAGGGTCGGCTTTGCCCTGGTGTCTAGGCCTTCCTCGGCTAGCTCAACTGGGGGCGATGCAAGCAGTATGCGCCTCACTCAGATCTTTTGGGGTGTTTCCCCTTTCGTTTTGCGGGGTCTCTACACTACCAATCTAGAGGATTTCGGGGATGAGCCCCTGAATTCAATCTCAGGCGTAATGCTTTCGTACCCACCAGCTTGGGCTACCCGAGAGATAGTGTTCTTCTCCTTATAGTAAACACAGGTGAAAGGGTCGGGGCCGCTGAAGGAGGAGAAGCTGCCTCCTCCAACGGTGGTCCCGTAGTTACGATAACCCTCGGAGAACGGGTCCGAGGGGAGTCAGGTAATTGACCAGAGATGCCGTCTTTGTCCTCGTCCGAGCTTAGTCGGTGTGGTCTATTGTTAAAACGCCTACCTGAGGCGGTCACTTGACCTGCCTGGCTATTTCCAGGCTTTGGCGATACGTGCTCTATCGCCCGAGCTTGACGGGTGGCACGTTGACGGGTCATACGGGGTTCTGGGACCGGTTCCCCTTTTCCGGGCCCGTTTCGCCTTTTCCGGGCCCAGATGCGGTTAGTCCACGGACTGCCCGCTTACTACCTACTTGTTTGTTGGTTTTTACAGGCAAATGATTAGCTCAGCTTCCATACATAAAATACTCTGGGGTATTCTTTGGTAATTAGTGTTTTCGGCCCCTTAAATTTACCTCTCATGTTCCCTCCAACATCCATACTCTGGCCTACGATACCTTTTGGATCAAGATTTATTGAAGTTAAGCATTTGTTCAGCTTTTCTCCGGTTATATATCCACATGCAAAAACCTTAACCAAGCGCTCCTCTGGTTTGACATTGGACATTGTAGTTTGATTGGTATTGCAATCCATGTGGCCAATGTAGCGAACTATGACAGTTGTGCATTCTTTTTTGCTCACATCCAGGGTAGAATCTAATATTACCCTGGATGTGTACCTTGAAATATGTAATGTAATGTAGTACCCTGAATCAGTATTGCTTACGATTGATTCAACTACCACATCATTCATTATATTTATTATATCAAATATGTTCCTGTAGCTTAAGAAATTAGATGTCAGTCTTACATTTTCAGCCCTCGCTCTGTAAATTTGTTCAAACATTTTGCATCTGGGCTATTTATGTTCCAATGAGCCTAAACAATCCTAAATGCGTCCCTTCTAAAACATCGTTTTTGTTAAACGCAATCATTTCTTTCATTTTATTGGATTGTCGAGCGAAGCTTTAAACAAATCTATTTTCAACCTAGCATCCTAGCAACCTGTGCCGATATATGGTATTTGGACGTCTCGTTGAGCCCATAATCTCTCTCTCCTCTATGCTCTGTCCACCCTCTGTAGCCGGTTGTTCCTCATATACATAAATTTCAAAAACTGCATTACAAAACCTATAATTTAATACTTGTTTTTATTATTTTCAACCCATTGTGTCCCAGTAATTCAATATTGAAAAACTTGCGTTTCCTCTGCACCACCCTGTAGAACGTTCAGTGGGCAGTGTAAACAGTGTGCAAGGCAAACAAAATACAATCACTGTCATTCCCATAACTGCCACTGTAGAATTTCGATAGCATGTAGAGTGGATTGAGTGGACTGTATATTTATAAGTTAAGCGGAGTTTTCATTCTTCAAATTAGAACACTGAGATACAATTAACAAATAGTTTTAATATTAACAAATAAACTTTCAATGATTTTACAGAACTTTAAAGAGAGATTACAGAAGAGAGAGGGATCTTGAGTCTTGATGTGTTTGTTTTTTAACTAACAAAAATTACTAATACATTATTTCATTGTTAAATCCCATATGTTGTTTTAAACATTAAAACAAATTAAAAACCAATGCCATCTGTATTTATTTTTAGTTGATAGAAAGTATTATTATAACAAATCACAATTAATTACACTGAATACTGAACATACCCCCGCCCGTGAACCACTAAGAGGGGTTCACCTAATAATGAAGTATTGAGAAAAAAAAATTATTTTAGAAATGAACATATTATTTACAATAAACTGATGGTTAACAGTCTAACTTCTTTCGTCATTCATCATTGATTGGTAGGGGTGAGACTTTAGTTATAGGTCTGGAGAGTGTTCCTGATGAAGTTTTTAACTGTACAACTCGTACAAGACCATCTTGCCCTGGGGAAGTTGAAATGACACGTCCCATTCGCCATGAAAGGGGAGGTTGATTTGGTTCATGCAATAGGACAAGATCTCCAATTTTTATGTTAGGTTGAGGACTTCTCCATTTCCCTCGTTGTTGCAACGTGTAGAGGTATTCTTTTTGCCATCTTTTCCAAAAACTTTGGGTTAAGGCTTGAACAAACTTCCACCTTGACAATCTGTTTGTTGAGACATCTTTCCAGTCAGGTTCGGGAAGAGATAAAAGAGGTCCTCCAATCAGAAAATGACCAGGAGTTAAGCAATCAATTTCGCTGGGGTCAGATGAAAGTGGGGTTATGGGCCGTGAATTTAGAATTGCTTCGATGCGAGTTGTTAGTGTGATGAACTCTTCAAGAGTAAGAATCTGTTCGCCTATGACTCTCCGAAGATGGTGTTTGACACTGCGGACAGTTCTCTCCCAAAGGCCACCTTGGTGTGGAGCTGCGGGGGGTAAGAAATGAAATGTAATGTTGTTTTCCATTGCAAACTTACTAAGAGCTTCTTGAGTTTCTTTCTGGACGAAGAAATTCTTAACAATCTTTTGAACTTCATTAGCGGCACCTACATAATTTGTTCCGCAGTCCGAGTAGATGTTGCTACACAACCCTCGTCGAGAGACAAATCTCGTCAATGCTGCTAGGTAAGCTTCGGAACTGAGATCTGTAACAACCTCTAAATGTACAGCCTTGACAGAAAAACAAATGAAGATACAAACGTATACTTTGATTGGACAGGACTTCCTTAATTTGCAAGGTTTAACTGAGAATGGGCCTAAAAAGTCCGTCCCGCAGTTGTTGAACACTCTTGAGGGTAGGACTCGTTGTGGAGGAAGATCTCCCATTTTCTGAGTTGTTGTCTTAGGATTGCATTTGAAGCATCGGATGCACTTGTAAACTCTTCTTCGAATAATACTTCGAGCAGATAGGATCCAAAACTTCTGAGATAAAACGGCTTGTAAAAACTGAGGTCCAGCATGCAAGTGTTTCAAATGGTAATGATCAACGATGAGATTGGTGACATGGTTAGTTTTGGGCAATACAATAGGATGCTTTGCAGCGTAGGATACTTGAGAGTGCTTAAGGCGGCCTCCAACACGAATCAATCCATTTTCGTCTAAGAAGGGGGAGAGAGACGCGAGACGAGAGGAACAAGGTTTTCCATCTTTCAATCTAGAAATATCTTCAGAAAAGACAGTTTGCTGAATCATTTTACAGATAGTGATTGTTGCTTTATCAAGCTCTTCAAGCTTTAAAAACCCTGATTATTTAACCTGGTTTGTAAGGTTATTTTTGAAGCGTAGAACGTAAGCAATGACTCGCTGGAGGGTTGACCAAGATGAAAACCTGTTGAATAAGTCTGGTTTTTTAGTTGTAACCATTATTGGTAAAGGTTCGACCTTACGTTCTGGCAATTGTTCGTCTTGGAGAGGGGTGAAGCGAGGAATAGGCCATGATTCCTGATCCAGAGATAACCAATTGGGACCGTTCCACCATAAACTGTTGTCTTTCATAGAAATGGGAAGGGTTCCTCTACTGGCAAAGTCAGCTGGATTACAATGAGTTGAGACATGTTTCCATATGTAAGTAGGAGTAAGTTCTTGAATTTCTGAGACTCGATTTGCAACATAAACTTTTAAGCGGTAGGGTACAGTTTTTATCCATGACAAGACTACAGATGAATCACACCAAGCATGTAATTCGTTGACAAGATAATCTTGAGAGAGTAGAGAGTTGCAATAGTTCAGGAGTTTGGACAAAAGATGGGCACCACACAATTCTAGTCTAGGGATGGAGATCTTCTTAAGAGGAGCTACTCGAGCTTTGGCAATTAACAGATGTACGTTGATTTCTCCGGAAGAACTTACACATCGCAAGTAGACACAAGCTCCGTAACCTGTTTCAGACCCATCACAAAATCCATGTAAACTGATATGAACAGCATCAGCTACGGAAACATATCGAGGTAAGCTAAGTTCACTTAAGAAAGGGAGTTGTTGGAGGAACTTAGACCATTTTTCAGTTAGATCCGGAGGTACAGGCGCATCCCATGATAAACCTAGTGCCCATAAAACTTGTATCAACGCTTTTACCCAAAGAGTGACTGGAGTCAACCAACCGTTTGGATCAAATATTCTGCTAACTGTTCCAAGTATACCTCGTTTAGTGGGAGGCGTGTCTGGGATATTTAACTGATAAGAGAAAGTGTCTGAGTTAGGTGACCATTTTATACCTAGTACCTTGAAATAAGGTTGATCTGAGGAGTTGAAATATAGAGGAGTTTCTTTGTAAGAGTCGGGGAGAGTTTCCATGATTTGAGGGCAGTTGCTAGTCCATTTCCTCAGTTCGAAACATCCTTTTAAAAGAAGTTGTTCCACCTCATTTCTTAGTACCAAAGCTTGTTCTATGCTGTTGGCACCTAATATTAAATCATCTACATATACTTGTTTCTTTAAAGCCTCAGCTGCCAGAGGGAAGTTTGCGCCTTCATCAGTGATAAGTTGGTGAAGTGTCCTTAGTGCCAAGTAGGGTGAGCAGTTGAATCCAAACACAACTGTAGTTAAACGGTAAACTGAAAGGGGGTCGTCTTTGTCATCTCTCCAATACAACATTTGATAGTTTCTATCATCTGGGTGGATCACTATTTGACGAAACATTTGTTTGATGTCACATGAGAAGACAATAGGGGAAAGTCTAAACTTTAACAGAATATCATTAAGATCATTATGTAGTTTTGGCCCGGTATGTAGAATATCGTTAAGGCTGACACCTGAGGAGCTGCGTGCGCTTGCATCGTATACTACACGAAGCTTGGTGGTTGAGGAATCTACTTTGACAATAGCATGGTGAGGTAAGTAAAATTGTTTATTATCACTATTTGGAGGAGGGTTAACAGGTTCCATGTGACTAGATGACAATAAATCATGTATGGCTTTATTATACTCTGCTTTAACTTCAGGCTGACTTTCTAATTTTCTTTCAAGTGATAGGAATCTATTGCGAGCGCAAAATGATGAGTCACCAAGAGGGGGATGATTTTCTTTTATGGGTAGCCTAACAAAGTAGCGTCCATTTGAATCCCTAGAGACCGTGTTTAGAAAGTGATTTTCACAAATTTCTTGTTCAGATGTTACATGATGTTTGATGGGAGGTTCCTCTAGAGTCCAAAATTTCTGCAGAGAATTGTGCAAATCAATATCTTGAGTACTTAATAAAGAAACATTACCCTTGCATTGAGGGGCTGTTTTTTGAGGGGCTACAGCAGGAAGAGTTGGGGCAGATCCTATGATAAGATATCCAAATACAGAATTCATGGCAGCAGGAAGATCCTTGTTAATGATGATGCGTTCACCAGTGATTACTTTAGCGAATAGATCAGCACCTATGAGCACATCTATCTTACTAGGCAAATGAAAAGTTGGATCAGCCAGGACCAAATGTTTGAAGTATTCTTTAACATTAACTGGAACTTCTGAGTGTGGGAGGTTTGAGGTTATTCTGTCTAGAATAAGGACTGGGTTGTTATCAGCAATCATTTCTCCGCTAAGAGACGATATGTTAACTTTTGACACACCTTTAGATTTAACTTCTACTGATGATAGGCCATCTATCTTGGAATTACTGGAAAATGTCCGTTTAAGCATAAGCAGGTTAGCAATATTTTCTGTTACGCAGCTTACCATAGATGCGGAGTCAATAACGGCTCGGGCTACAACTGTGTTACCGTTATTAGCTTTCAAGTGTACCAATGCAGTGGCTAGCAATATAGTGGTATTAGGGTTTGAGGAGACAGCTACAAAGGGAGGTTCAGGGTGATCATAAGTTTTATTCATTTCCTTGGGCATCGGAGCATTATCTTTAGGCTTTTGATTACCGGTAAGCTTATCATTAGGCCTATTATTAGTTGTATGTAAGAGGGAGTGATGTTTCAGTTTACAGTGAAAACATGTTTTATTTGACTTACAGTCTTTGACAGAATGAGCGGTACCTAAGCAGTTCAAACAAAGGTGGTTTTTCCTCACAAAATTGTATCTTTCCTGTACGGACAAATCTTTAAACTCTGAACATTGGTAAATGTTGTGATCACTTTTACTACAAAATGTGCATGTGGCGTTTGAGTCTCTGAAAGCTAGTAAAGTAGTGCGGTTCGGTGTAGACTTATGTAGGCCTATCTGATAGGAGTGAGGGCTGGACCTCTTACTATTTTGAGTGAAACCTACATTGCTATTGCTTGAAGTAGTTCTAGGGAACTGAGAGTTAGAGAGGTTAGCAGCTTCTAAGTAAGCACATTCATTTTCTAAAAATGTTATTACTTCACCTACGGTTGGAAGGTCTTGAGAATTTAGACGTAAGCTTTCAAACTTTTTGCGAATGTCTGCGTGTAATTTCCTTAGTAACATGGCTGAGAGCAAGATATTATCCTTGGCTATGTCATGATTGAGTGCAATGAGTGCTTGGGCATTTTCATTATACTGAGAAATGAACGAGCGAATGTTCTTGAGGGAGGAGTCAATTAGGTTAGGTAAGTCTATTATGTTGTTGAGGTGTATACTTATGATTTTCCTACTGTTTTGATACCGTTTTTGAAGAAGATCCCATGCTACATCATAGTTTTCAGCTGTGATTGGTAAATTCTTTATAAGATTGAAAGGTTCTCCCTGTAGAGTAGAAAGCAGATATTGAAATCGCTCAACTTTGGATATGTTTTCATTATCATGAACAGATACTTGAAACAGGCTAACATAAGATAACCATCGTTCCGGTGAACCATTGAAAGTTTTGAGAGATAGAGGAGGGAGTTTTAGAGAGTGGCTATCTTGGTTTGAGGAAGAGCTACTAGGCCTATGGGGTAGGCTACTTGATGGAGTATTTGTTATTGAGTCAGTGTTTAGAACAGGCCTATGACTTGTAGGATCTTGAGAAAGGTGTTTCTTCGTGAGAGTTTGAATTCCTACATATAAGTCAGATATAGTATCTTGTAATTGAAAGAGTGTATCTTCTTCATAATCATCGGGAAGCGTGTCACTATTGAATAGTTTCTCAAGGGAGGTTTCAAATTCTGAGTATTTTCTAAGTGTTTCTGACTCTAAAAGTTTCAACTTATTTATTTGTTCTTGGGACAATTCAGGTAATAAATCTAAAGCTTGGATGTTAGTTTGGATTTTGGCTAAACGATTTGCAATTGAGTTTAATTGCCTAGAGAGAGTGACGAATTTCATTTTTTGTTGTACAACAAAACAATTATTCTGAGTATTCAGAGAGAGAGAGATTAGAGATTGTCATTATTGTCTGCAATACGAGACACAGATAACAGATGGCATTGTTACATTAGCGCTATTAGTGGTTGCTATGAGCATTACAAAATACCAAATTGTACAGTTTGATACAAATTGAAATGTCAATTGAATTGATAAATTACAACAAAAACAATATGCTTAAAATATAGAGGAATCAAAGTTTGAATCAAAGTCCTTTAGATATTGACCTTTTAGATCTACAGTAGTCTTGGTAGTCTTCTTACTTCTTAGTTATGAGAAAGGAGTTAGTAGTTCATTTTTAAGGTTGCAAGTTGGAGTTGGAGTAGAACTTATTGTGACTTATAGTTACCAAAAGAGCTGAATTTCAGATGATCTGCGGCCGAAGGACCATGTAGAATTTCGATAGCATGTAGAGTGGATTGAGTGGACTGTATATTTATAAGTTAAGCGGAGTTTTCATTCTTCAAATTAGAACACTGAGATACAATTAACAAATAGTTTTAATATTAACAAATAAACTTTCAATGATTTTACAGAACTTTAAAGAGAGATTACAGAAGAGAGAGGGATCTTGAGTCTTGATGTGTTTGTTTTTTAACTAACAAAAATTACTAATACATTATTTCATTGTTAAATCCCATATGTTGTTTTAAACATTAAAACAAATTAAAAACCAATGCCATCTGTATTTATTTTTAGTTGATAGAAAGTATTATTATAACAAATCACAATTAATTACACTGAATACTGAACATAATTGAAAAACTTGCGTTTCCTCTGCACCACCCTGTAGAACGTTCAGTGGGCAGTGTAAACAGTGTGCAAGGCAAACAAAATACAATCACTGTCATTCCCATAACTGCCACACTGACGTAAATGAATCTATATTGAACGTCAGCTAATGCCATTAATACAACAGACGAAAATCCCTTGTAGTTGTAGTACATTGAGTAACATGGATGGACAATCCGAACGTGGTTTCCATCCACTGCCCCAACACAGTGAGGTAAGTTAGCTCTTTTTTCAAAGTTTTCGGAAATTTCTTTCCAATCGTCTGTTGTGAGAACAGGCATGCATTCTTGTCGCAGTTCCCAAAGAGATCCACATACATCTCTAACTATTGCACTAATTGTGGAAATTCCAAGCCTTTAACTGTAGTGGAGGTCAGTAAATGAGCACTTACTCGCCAGGTATCTGAAAAAAGAAAACTCCTTTAATAGTGCAGAAAAAATAAGCGAAAAATTACATAAACCTACAAAATAATTAGCACAACCGGGGAATTTTGTACTGATGTTGGGTGTACCTACTTTTGAACATACTAAAAGTCCCCTAAAATTGAAGCTGTGCTACGGCCGCTATATTGTAAAATGGTGGCATAATTCTGTATTTTTGGCTGTAGTGAATTTATTATTACAGATACAGGAAAAAGCAAAATATACAAAATGTAGTCCATCTAAAAATACTTTTTTTTATTTATCTTCTTTCTCTAAACCCAACGTTTATGAGTTATTTGTGATTAAGTATATTTAGTTTTTCTATTTATTAAAAAAGGCGAAACCTATGGAAATCGACGGTTACTTTCAAGGTTTAAGATATTTCATCCCATTTAGTTAAATAGATTCAAACTATAAAATATTATAATTTAACTTTATTTTATGAGTAAAACAACTCCGCCATTTTCCAATATGGCGACCGTAGCACAGCTTTAGTTTTAGGGGACTTTAAGTATGTTCAAAAAGGAAGGTACACCCAACATTTGTACCAAATTCCTTGGGTGTGCTATTTTTTTTTTTTTTTGTTGCCAAAACATATTTTTATTGTACTATAATACATCATTCAAATTAATTGACTGGATGTTTTGTTGAATATTTAAATTTATGGTTTTAAAAAGGTCAGTCAACATGTTAAACAATTTTGTGGTGTTCAGACAAACTTGTCATGAAGAAATGGTCAAAGATCCGGGACTCTTTTCAAAGCGCGAAAGAAATTTCAAGAAATCCATGAAGTCTGGAAGCGCGAGGCAGCCAAACAAGTCCTATATTTATGGTGACCAATTGAAGTTTTTGAAAAAAAAACAGTTCTACTCCATGATACGGATAACAGCTTTTCAGATAGTGGTAATTATGCTCAAACGAAGGAAGTATCTGGTGATTTGGAAAACTAAGATGGACAGGTCAGTAATAGTAAAAGTAACAAAGAAGAAGGCGTTGCTAGTGAAAGTGCTTCATTTAAAAAAAACCGAACAACGGAAGGGTAAAAAAAAGGAAAGTTGAGTTGTAGAGTTGGAACTGTTGGGTGTAATAAAACGAAGTGATCGACATAGTTCATTTTTGCTGGTACAATTCCAACATTAGAAACTTTTGATGACGAAAATATAGTTGAATTTCAACTTAGGGTAATGCAAATTGTATAGCCTAACTTACTTTTAACCAGTGTAACTTAAGTTATGACTTTGCCAAGGCGCCTAGTAAGTTTTAAGGTGTGCATGAATGTTGGCCTACCGTTAAGTTACTAAATTGGTACACAATGGCTTAGGTAAGGGGTAACTTAGTCTATAGGCTATGTTTTAGATAACACTTACCAGAGAATTCAATCACAATGGCATCGAAACATGCCCAGCCTCCCAACGAAGGTTTTTGGTGTCTCGCCACTCGACGACGTAGCTCTCTGATGGACTATTTGAAAACTCCTTCGTATTAAAGTTCTTAATCCACAGTGTTGATATAATGTAATATTTTCCTTCGTCCTCCCCGGTAAGCCATTTGACCACTGTGTATTTTGGTGTTGCACCACCGGTAGTACCACCGCTAGTCTCGCTCTAGACACTCTATAGTTGTAAATCTTCTTTTTTTGTCAAACATCTTCTGGGAAATGGTTTGACCAAGTCCTTGTGCAAAGGCAAAGGCGTCATCACCGACAAAAACAAAGTTCAAGACTACTTCCTTGGTTGTGTCATTAGAAGGCAAAGTTAACTTCAAAAGATTAACTTAAAAAGAAGGAACTCCTTCGAAAAAGAAATACTACAGATTGTAACGAATCTCCTAAAAATAATGACATAGAAGTCTTGGATGTAAACATGGATCAAATGATAAAATATTTTAAAAATAAAAAAAATATTGCTTTTTCTCACTGCATATCAGCAGATTTCCACAATCCCAGACATATGTCAGCAGGTGTGGCAGTGAAGTTCCGGAGGCAGTTTGGAAGACCTTCAACCGCTGATTGTGTCTCAAAACACCTGGCTTTCCAACAGGTGGACGGTGGTGCAGGTGTTTACAGTTTAATTACCAAGCCGCAGTACTTCACTAAACCTTGTAAACCTGATTATGACACAGCATTTCAAGAGTTCACAGACGATTTTAAGAAAAAAGGATACCAACAACTAATGTGCTCAGCTATGGGCTGTGTTAGAGATATGGTACCTCTAGAGTATTTTGTAACCCAAATATTGGAGTTCCAAAATATTACCAAATCTACAGTTAAAATAATTGTTTATGAACAAAAAAGCTACAGAGTTCTGAACAAGGGATTGAGTTTAAGAACAAACTGAAAATTTTTATCTCAATAAAAAATAATTCGTCAAATGC